AAAAGCCAACTGATTTCAGTTTTAAATCAGCATGCCCCAAATGATCCACTTGTTTCTGATTCTCCTTAATTTACTGGATTTATATAAAGTAATATAAAGGAAAGCTAAACCAGTATATAATATTTTGTTCAACATCTCAGATATTAGTTCTTGTGAAAAAGTACATGCTGCAAAACGATTTTAGTTTCAGAAACTCCTTGCTTTAGACATGTCAGTGACTTGCTACTTTACTGCAAGTTAATGTTTTAAAACCAGCTTTATTTATATAGGTTGACTGATGCCCATTCTGTTGTCTTCACAGCTATCCTCCAGGAAAGGCTCATGAAAGCTCTTTCTCCATTTAAAAAGCCAGGATAAAAAAGTATACAAGTCCATTGTCCAAGAAAGAACTTAAAAGCAATGCACGTTGCCAAACTGTGCTCCCCACCCAGTTACCAAACACAGGATACAAGGCAGTTTGTTTACTTCTCACAATTGAATGCATACAAAAAAGGTCTCAGTGCAGTCCTGTTGTCAGGTCAGTAGTCAGTTGTTAAAATGCTGAAATATCCTGATAAAACCTGCATTTTTGATCCCCTCCCTAAAGCTGCTGTCAAAGGTCTGTTTTCCTTTCTTGGGTTACTCCCTACTGCCTAACATAAATTGTCATAACTACTGGAGGACAAACGGCCTTTTATCAAAACAATCTACTTAGCCCAACTTTAATGCAAAAAAAGAAAAAAAAGGTGGAGCTATTCTCTAGCTTTATTAAGAATCCCTTCCATCATATTTTTCACATACCTTTTTCATAGGCCTGATGGGACAGTTTTTAATAAAAACAAAATGCTATCAGAACATAGTACCCAGTGTGTTATGGGTTTGTTATCTGGCTTTTACAAATGGAAACACTGTAATAAACATGTTCTTCCACCTTGCTGTAAATTTCCCCTTAATTTTGCACACAACAAAATATGACTTTAAAAACTACCATATATATCGTATCAGGTAATGGTTAAAGCTCTGTTGCTTGCAAGTTTCAGATCTGCTTTCAGATAATAGTACAGCACTGTGAGCTATTAATAATGAGGCACTGAATATTAACTAAAAGGTTAAGCAAAAAACCCATTTTAAAATCATAAGAGTAGATAGGACAAAATCTGTAGCATGTGACTTAATACCAAGCACATGTGCTCACAGGCTTGGCATACACATGTACATACCTGGGGACCATGAGCTGCACCTAATTAATGAAGAAGGCCATCTTTAACATAGGAAGATGGCTCTGAACAATCTAAGGGATTAATTACGTTGTTTGAAGCGTCTCCTTACTAAAACTGTTTGGTTGCTTTAAAAAAAGCAAGCATCAGTTGAAAGCAAAGGGCACATGACCCTTGTTCTCCCTACATCTATCATACTGCAGAATTCATTTTTAAATAGGAAAGAGTCTTTTCTCACTACAACTTTTGATAATGTACTATCAAATACCTGACCACAGTAAATCAGTTGTGTTAGATATTGAAATGCTATCATATTGTCCAACTTTCCTGCTCGCCTTTTTAACACATCAAGTATTTTTCCTTCTTCCCCAAGCCATCATCTTTGTGTCAGAGATGCTCTCCTGTCTGACAACAGCAATTTAGAAGAGTTAACTTTTATCGTTCATTCTGCTGTGTAACTTTCCCCTTCAAATTTCTTTATCTGCCCTCTGAGCTCATCTGAACTTTCATGTTCTCCCAGCATGCAGGCTTGCATTCAAAACTATGTCTAATAGACCAAATAAGAGGTTAATAAGAAGTGGCAACAGAAAGAAAAAAATACAATCCCTGGTAACTGATAAGAATGACAGTGGCAGCCCTTTATTGTTTGTCTTCAAATATAGAGTTAAAGATCTTTAAAAAACTAAAATTTGACGCCTTTGAAAAGAAAGAAGCACAAAATAACAACAGGGGGTTATTGCCTGGCAGCCACAGGGGAGAAGCTCCATAATTCTTATTCTCCCTTTTGAAGGTTGTTAGAAATCTGATTCAAAAAAGCAACAGCAGAAGGAGAAAGCCTCTTGAGGCTATAGCCATTTCCTGTGATCATGCATAATGTGCTTCAAAAGTGGGTTTTTACCAATTCTGTTGATCAATTGCACCTCCTTCATATTCCCTCTTTTTTTTCTGCTGTGTTTACATCTGATGCGACTCAATGACAAGCACTGTCTCAGACTGTGAAACAGACCTGTCATGTTGATTTATGGGCGCATCAAACCACGACTTGTCCAAACTGAAGCTCGCAGTTCATTAATTAGAGAGTTGTGACTTTGAAGTCAGCTTTCAGACTGTGGTTTTTAACATTTGGCTTAATTTATATGCTCTTGAATGTGGATCTCTAAGGGAAAAACTGAAATTCCCTTCTTGTCTTTGAACTTCTTTTGACCGCACAATAATCATTTCTTTGTCCAGAGTGATGCCTGCATCCCAGAGTCATTAACGCGCATTGAACTGCCACTGATGAGTAAGCCCTACTGAATTAGAAAAACAGCCAGCAAAACAAAGCTGAGAGCATTCTGCACAGTGATATCTCACAATTACATGCCTTCTCTCCCTGTGCCATTTCCATTTTAATTACTGTTAGTCCTTTAGATTTACATTTTAGACATTTTTTAATCTGTTCCCTTTTTTATTATAGTGGCGCCCGTTAGTGGGCTATAGTTAAGGTTTGTGTCAGCGTTTCCCATTATTACCCCCTCCCCATTTTCATAACTCAGCTGTAAAAATTCATACTTGACTTTAAACTTGGTTTTCCAGAATAAATGAAGAAAGGGTTGACAACAGCCAAGAAACTGCACGGTCTGATTTGGGAATGTTTGCTTATATGAAGCACAACTACTAAACCAACATGTAACAAGCAACAACAGTTTACCTGTTGTCCAACCCAGGTGTCATGACACATTACGAAGTGACCAAGAGTTCATAATCTGCCATCTCTTTTCTAGGAGACATTGTCTGTTTGCACGTAACAAGAAACTAGGGCTTGTTGCCTTATGGCCACCAAACAATTGAAAATATTGTGGGTAGTTATTTCAATTCATGAGTTGTATTTTTTTGTCTCCTCACTGGAAGCCAGCCTGAATCTTGGCAGCCTTTTAGAACACTGAAGAGCTGCCTTTGTAGCTTGCCACAATAATTAAATAATCCTCCTGCATTAGATGCAGCAACAGCCCATGCCTTGAACAAACCACAGTTTACAACCCACAATAAGGTATGGTCCTCTTTGAGAACTGCTTTTTGTTAGCGACTTACAGGTGAGCCATAGCCCTGGATTTGGACATACGTACAACCCTTGATTCAACAGTTCTTTGTTTAGTCAAGCCACTGGTTGTTGATAAATGTGAACAAGGTCAGGCCCTTGGGCCAATTTAAGTTTACAATAAGTTTTTTTAAATAAAGGTTTAAAAAATAAACCTGTGATTTTCAAACTAGAAGGCAGATCTATATGTTTAAAAGGTACAGTGGAATTCACAATGCCACTGTTATGGAAGCTATTTGGCAGACACACCCCATATATACCTAACAAATTTATTTAGAAGAGAAAGGCCACTGACACCTCACAAATTTTGCAATTCCATGTAAGTATGAAATCACTCTTTTCATCCAATGTTTTCTGTGAGAGATTTTATTTGCAAGTAATATTGTTAAATATTTTTACTCTGTCATGTGTGCACGGGATATACTTTGTAGCCTAAGATTATTTTATTTTTAAACCAGTTTTATAGTATAGGAAAAATCTACTCCAATCTCCCACTAGAATTTCACTTCCTTTACCAAGTTACTTCAAGGCTTGGCTTACAATTTTGAGAAGCTGTTTTCAAATGTGCTTCCTTCAGATCCCCTTCCCACACTCTCATCTGTCAAGGAACACCTGCCATGTATTCCATGGAATACACTAGGATTTCTTGCACAGGTATGTTCATACAGTCAGTTCACAAAGAAACTGGCTGAGCCTTCTACACATGACTACTGCCCTGTAATAGGCAATGGCATGCAGGGAAACTTGTCCAGCATTCAGCTTCACATTGTAAAATCGATGAAGAACCACAGCATGTCCTAACATATGTTTGAAAATAATGGGACTAGAGGAATATCCAGTTGCTCTGTTAAAAGTAAGACATAATGTGCACAAGAACAGGGATATTAGAAGTGCTTGAATCCTCCCAAGTGAATGAGACTTCAGAGCTGTATGCAGGAGTCCCAGTTATTTAAATGAGCTTTCATGCTGTTTCACACAAGATGTTTTTCCTATATTGGGCTTCTCTTTGCACATGCTAAGCAAGCAGCAAGAGGATAGAGAGACAAAGTCCAGATAAACCATGCTTCTTCCCACACTTGTTTAAAATTCAATAACTGAGTCCTGATATCTGCCCCTCGAGGAACAAATATGCCATCTTCATACCTGAAATTCTGGTCAGGTGTAAGAAAGGGACACACAATGCACTTCAGACTAGTTTTCTCCTGTAACTTGTTTTGCTTAATGTCTGAAACCATTGAGACACAGACCATCATCCAAGAAAAATAGCACAGGGAAGACATTCAGCCCTCTCTAGGCTGTACCCAATGGTCTCAATCCATCAGAGTGCAGATGCAGTAATAAAGGCTGCACACATGAAGCATAGTTAGATTCTGAAATCCACCAATCAACTGTTTGGCAGGGAATGAGAGAATGAATCCAGCCTCCAACTTTTACTCCTGAATGAAAAGATCCCAGCACTTTATTCACCAGGCTATGCATGGATCAGGCAAACTGCAGGGCTGGGGAAATTATATGTACAACACCACTCTGTGCATATCAATTCTCCACCTAGCTAGGATGGAAGGTCTGGAAGTTAAGAATATCAAATACATTACTAGGATTTTATATTATGTTGTGTTTTTAAAACAAGCCAGTGAACAGTGAAGTTTTTCAAGCAGTAACTTATGATCATTATATAGTTTTCTGTTGTGATCTGTGGACTGCAGTATACTGGATTTTAGCTGTACCTCTTTAGGTGGTTTTCCAACATGTTGTTGCTGTAAGAGTTGAAGCTGCAACTGTTCCTGTTGTTTCTTATAAAATTCTTGAAGCTGCTGCTACAAAGTAAAAAGAGAGTGAGGTGGGGGAGATGGGGGAAGAGAGAGAGAGAGAGAGAGAGAATGTTAAATAAAACAAAGTAGGATAGCCAATTCAGGGTCCCCCTTTGGTGTAATACACAAACTGCGATTTGAAAAATAGCATCCTTTTATCTGTAATGGTCTGACCTTTAGTTTGAAACTCGACAATAAATTCAGTGCACACTGACTATTCTTGGCATTATCATTTGAAAAGTAATCTCCAAAATGAACTGATGAAAAACATACCATTTTCTGCACAAACTAATTAAAATAAAGCAAGGGATGACCTTTGATTGCAACAACAAAGCCAAAATGCCCTTGCTGGGAGAGCCCGGTGAATCTTTATTTGGAGCATATACATGCTTTCTAAATCATTGTTGTATTGTACTGAACTAAACATTGTTCAGTATAGGTGCAGGCGCTCTGCTCCCACCCACCTTGCCCAATCTTCCAGATAGCTCTCTCTGAGAGTTCTGTTCAATGAATGACGGAATGACTGTGAGCCACAGTACACAAGCTTATCTTGCAATGGACTTTGGCACTGCTGCACCATCCATGACTTAACCCTGCATAGCTCATCAGGATATGCTAACCTGAAAGCTGCTTTTGTGTTTAGTCAGCTCTCAGTGTACATGGGAAAGAAAGAAATTATTGCACGGCTTGTATTACAGCTTTCAAAAAATCATCATGTATTTCTACGAATGTCCTGTGTCACACATTCTCTGGCATTTTAGCTGTTTTTTACCATGTAATCAATGTTTCGTCACAACTAAAAGCCTGCCTGCTTCTGTGTATTTATATTGATTCTGTATTTTTGCTATTGTCAATTTTTTATTATTTATTTTACATCCTGTCTTGCTGTATGCCACCCAAAGGGCCCTATGGGTTATGGGGCTGCATACATATGTAATAAAGCAAATCAAATCAAATCAAATCAAAAAGTAACAAACGAAAGTATAATGTGGTAACTTAATTACTGCGTAATACAGTAGAGGTAGACAGGCAGCAACTTCACTTAGACAAAACAAAACATGCAATCTTTTCTTTGTTTAACTCAGGCTGGCACACACAGTTTGCCCCCTTACAGCAACTCCATGGAGAAGAGTTAGGTCAAGGCAACAAATCAAATGTGGCCAATTGCGGAACCAAACCCTGATCTACATCCAACACTAAATACTTGCCTTCCAAAGGCAGCACAATCCCTGCTAGTTCTTGTCTTCTGGAACCAATAAGAAAGAGTGCTTTCTTATTGGTTCCAGAAGAAAAAAAACCTTTCTTCTCTTGTCCACCCTAGCTAATTACAGGAAAAGTTATCTTGTGATAGATGTAGGTGAAAGCTGAGTCTTAAACTATACATGATGCCTGGGACATGCAGTTTCTTTTAGAGGCTGTTCACAAAGTCTTTAGAAGATGCAACTCCTCCATCCCAGTCATAGATTTGAAAATATTACAGGACAGCAATTTGCTCAATTATATCTAAGATTAAAACTATTATGTATTACACATATGGCAGCGTATGCAAAGAACATCCATGGCAAATTATGGGGCAAAATACATAAAAATTGCCTAATCCACAAACATATTCTCCTGCACAGGAAAAATATTATGCGGGATCAGGGTTACAAGGCTATGTTGCAAAAGGAACAAGTTACCTGTTGAAGCATGAGTGCCTGCTGCTGCTGGAGCAGAACCTGAAGTTGCTGTGGAGTTAGCACTTGCTGCTGGAGGATCTGCTGCATTTGCTGGGGAGTGATAACTTGAGGTGTCATCATAGCCACTGACACTGGAACCTGAAGCATTAAGAAAGTGTAAACAGCAAGCAACTCAACATGCATTCTGTCAAGTCTGCGTGTATATGTGCATTTGAAGCAGAAGATTTTAAGCAACTCTTCTTATTCTAGACAGTCAAGACAATGCACTGAATTCAAAGCGATCTCAACTGTTCTACCTTATTCCTTTATTTAAAATACAACCAAAGGGGCAAGAAGTTACCTTATTTAGTTCACAGGAATTAAAGCCATGGTTTGACTGAATGTTATAAGTATGTTCCTTCCCCATCCCTCTCAAAAGATTTTTCAATTGGAATTATTTCTGAGAAAACTGAACTATTAATTTAGAGCCAACTAACAATTCTAACAATTTTTACATTAATTAATAAGTATGACCCTTCAAAACCAACCATTGAGAAGTTGGAACTTAATGATTTGAAGCAAATGAACAGAATTTCAGCGATATAAAAAACTGCACCTCGCTCCCAAGCAATTTTAGTAGCGGAGTTCCTACAATGATGTCTCTACCATTCCATATTCACCCAGCATACAGATGGCTTCAATTCTTTCGTATTATGTGAGATACCATTAAAAGCCGCTTTCCATGACATTTCAGTGACAAACAGCTACAGTGATGAACTTGATAGCATTTCATATTTGCAACTGTTAACACGTTTCTGCACGGGCATCTTTGCAAGAAACCTGTACACTGTATCTGAAAGGATGATGTCTTGTTCAGATAAAACACTGACATTAAAATGACAGGCTGTCTTGGCCAAGGTTACACAAATTGTATTCAAGCGGATACCTAATGACAATGCTTTGAATTTTGCAAGCTTTCTAGAATGTAATTTAGCTATTCAAAATAATCACTGCACTTGTGTTTAATTTGCAGACTACATGAGAACCATTTTGTCAGTTCCAGTAATGCAACAAGGCTATTTTACTAGAAACCCCAACAGAAAGAGAGAGAGAAGGGGGGGGGAAGGGGGGATTACAACGGGGGGGGGGGAGACAAAATTCACTTGACTTTGAATAGTAATATTTAAGAAGCACACTTTTTCAGTTTCAGATCAAATAGGTGAAAGCAGAAAACTAAAAGCAGTAAAAGAATATACTTCATTAAAAAGGTTCTGCTGTCATCTCATGTACTACAATAAAAGGTAATAATATGTTTTGAACGTTTTTATGCACCACGTTTTAAAAAAAATCATCACACAATAGCTGATCAGGGGATAAAAGGATTAAAAAACATTCCACTGGAGTAGTAAGCAAGGAAGAGAAGCGGTATTAATTTTATATAACATAATATCTTAATATGCAGTTTATCTTGACTTTTTCACATGATTTGTCCTGTCATTTGCATAGCAAATTCTCATTCCTAATTTCACAGTCATTATGCACTGATGTCCTGATTTCTCAGCACCACTAATTTTGATGAACTAAAAGTGGTTACTGAAGGTCAGATTCATGTATAGTGAACATTGTCCAATGTTGTGTGTGCATGGGGGGGGGGATGAGTGAGAGACAGTTTAGACCTTTGCTTGTAAGAATCGAGAAAAACTTTTACACACCTTTGACACTTCATTAACATAACACTAGAAATCCAGATCAAGAGTTCCCAGGAACATTGCCATTTTGAATGTGGGTTACCCTGACATGCATTACAAAGCAAAGTAATCTGAAGCCAAGTCCAAGACACAGTGCTCCTTCTTAGCAAGCACTGGTATGGCTCAAGATCTTTGAGAGTTCACTGTCAGGGTTATAATACATTGATTTAACTCAGTGAAAAGACTAGAATACTAGAACCACCTCTCACTCCTTCTGTTATGCACTCTTCCTTTCTGGTTATCAATTTTATGCTTGCATTACCAGGTATTAAAAATCCAGCTATGCTCACATGTGTTCACTTGCGTCAATGTCTTGTAGAACTATAGCTGCAATTTATTTGCTAAAAGTTCATTATTTGGGAAGTCAGTACCAAAGTTCCACAGACATTGATAAGAGCAAGATTCAGGTCTATGTTGTTACATAGGTATGTGGGTAGGCAGAGGGTATCAACAGCAGTAACAAGTCCTGTGATGCAGTCACCAATGGTTATGTAAAATAAACTTTATCATAAGAGCACTGTACTCAATAGGGAAAATATTATTCTAAAAGTCTGTAATGCAGAGGAAACAATTTATTAAAAGGACATCAAGAATATGATGCAAGAGACACTAAACATTTTATTCCAGGATCACACAGAGTAATTTAAGATTGGTGAGGGAACCTCAGGCCAATGGAGCTTCTTCAAATGACTGTAATCCCTTCTGGACTCACTCCTTTTGCCTCAGTCTCCAATAATTTCTTGGTTTTCTAACATTTGTGTTGCCACTCGATCTCCTACCCGCAAGGAGAAGAACTGCCTCTAAGGCTTACTGTCAGTTTTTCAGTAAAATATTTTTAAAAAATTTTGTACTACCCTTTTTGCCTTCAGCCCACCCACCACTGGAAAGTGCCCCTCACAGAATATCTCTGCTCTGAATTAGGCCCTTAAGGCCCCTTGCCACCCCTGCCTTAAGAGGATTACACTGGCATGTTTAATCAGGTGCTATATGGCTCCTTCTTGTCTAATTTACCAAAAGTTAACTAGCTGTAAACTAATTCCTTTGAGCAGAATAAAAGTACTCTTAATCAAAATATCCCTTCAATATTTTCATTTATTTAGAACAAAACACAATCTACTATAATTCAAGATCATGGTATCTTTTACTAAATATGGATTCAGCTAATATGAAAGCACGTATGGATTTGTTTTCAGTGCTAATATTCTCACCATTATAACAATAATATATGATCATTAGCTTTAGCACAATGGCCAGTTGTCTATACTTCATGGATGGTTCTCAAGCAGAAAGTCTGGGGGTCTGAAATAGGGAGCAGGTACTTACAGGGAGGGGAGAAAGGGGACAGTTTAATTATTTCCCTTACTGCAGTTCCTCCTACTACAAGATGCTTCTGCACTCTTCCACAATCTGATTTCCAAACTGTGGAGTGACAGGAAGAGAAACTGTTAAGCTGCTCCTGCTCCCTCCATCCCTTATTACAGATGTCTGCAACCGCTTGTCCCTGAAAAGCAGAACGCAGCCCCAATACCACAGGAGGAAGACTCGTGCCATTCATATACAGGATGGGCCTGGCAAGAAAAAAGGTAAAGCCCTGTGCACTGGTGATCATACCTATAACCACATTCCTCTTTTTGCTCAGAACTTATGCAGAGGTGAACTAGGAATCCACTTCCTATTTTTCCCTGCCAGGAACTTGGAAAGCAGGAGAAAGAAGTCCTTCACTGGGGCCAGTCACAGGCACTGCAACCCTCATTGCACCTGCTGAGGCTCTCACACCACCTCTAGAGCCTCCTTTCTTCCCCTGCTACTGCTCTCCCTCCTAGAGTTGGCTCTGTCATGAAGCAGGTGCAGTAACCCACTTTGCATGGCAAGGCAGAAGGGCAGGGAGACACGTGAAGTTTGTTAGAACGGTGTAACAAGACTTCCGAAGCACCGGCCCTAGTGGGACCAGGGTGTGTACATGTGTGCCATTTGGACTCTGCTTGAGTAGTAACAGGTCAAGGGCAAGCTCTCTTCCTTGCTGACACTGCCCATTCACCTGCCCTTTCCAAGGCTGCAAACTGACAAGAGCAAACAGAAGGAGCTTTAATTCAGATATTGCTTCAGGAATGTAAAGATATAACGAAGGAACTACACTGCAGTATTGCATGCTTATTAGGTTGAGATTAAAAAATATGGGCTAGCTACCCAGTTTCTTAACGTTCAGTGTCCAACTTCTTCATGTAACTAGTCCCTAGTAATACTAGAATTCGAAGGGCACACAGCAGCAGTGATATTATAGCCTACACTTTATTACCCATTACTACCGAGGTCATTAGCAGCAAGAGTGATTGTACTGGACTTAACCTATTGATCATTGTAACTACTATCATTTAATCTTGTGTTGAATGTCTGGAAAGCTGCTAAAGGCACACAAGAGAGAGTGCTTTAGCACTGAGAAATATTGCTAAAGCGTGAAAATTACACTTTGATTCATAAAAACTAGCCAGTGGTTTAAATCAATAGTATTTAAAAGAGTCATGTAAGTTCTTAACTATAGTCTCTAATATTTATGGGTCCCTATTTGAATGTATTCTGTCAAAATTGTACTTTTTTAGATACTATCCTGTACACCACACATTACATCAGAGTGAATTAAAAAATCTGTCTGCTCTTGATCCTTGGTGCAACATGACTTGAGTCCTGGATGGCTAAATATTGAAAGCCTATTTAGAAATGACAAATACTTAAAAGAACACTACTGCCCTATTTTAAATTAGATTTACTTTTATAAAGGAAAGTAGCTAGATCTTACATCTGAAAAGATATGCAACCATGTATAGGCACCAATCTTTACTGAAATAAAATTAACTGTGTTGTGCATTAAACTGAGTGTGTATCATAAATTTATTATTCATAAGAGGTGCTCTGAGGAAAAAAACAATGAATGCAATAGATTGAGCTTGCTTACTTCTGAGTTAGAAATACAAACAGAACTAAGACACAGGCAAATACATGCAATCGTTTAAACACACTTGGGAGTAAGTTTCAGTGAATGCAGCAGGATTTACTTCCAAGTAAACCTGCACAGGATTACACTGCTAGAATCCTGTTCATAGTCCCATATTCGTTTTGAGGCAACAACTTCTTTAATAAACTACATCCAGCCCTGTTGGCAGATAGTAACAGGGTGTGGTAGGTACCAGCTGCATTTAAGGCTGGCAGTGAAGGAAAAATACAGCTGTGCTTAGTTATTAGAAGACAACTAGTATAGACCTGCTGATGTTCTAATACCATCAACGGCAGAAATGCCTTTACATGAAACAAACTGGTTCCAGATTTATTTCCCCAGTGCAAGCCTGCATGTTCCAAAGAATAAACATGTTTACCGGTCTCCCTTTATCTCTTGATCTGGTTCCATCATTATAACAT